AGCTCTGAGAAGAGAGCGCAGAACTGACAGTCACAGCAATACACTTGGAGGACATAAAGAAGAGGTTATCTGAAGTTCCAACCAAGTAAATGTTTGATACAAGAAGTCTGATAGACTTCCTTCTAGAATGAGAAATATGGTACGATAGATATGATCCCGACCCCAAACCTAAGAATTATGTGGGACTAAATCTAATTCTAACAAAGCACTGAAACAGCAAGTCATATAGTAGTCATGCACCAAATTTTGTCTACCTGCTTCACCAGACAAATTAGCCATTCCTCAGCAATAAATATTCCAGATAACTCTGGGAAATATATTACTTTATTGAATAATATACTTCCATAGATGTTAGGGACTGGAAGGGACCTTACAGATCATCCCACTTGGGCAGGAAAGACTGCTGGGGTCAGATGACCCCAGCAAAGTGGGCGTCAAGACACTTTTTCCAAGATTGCCAATACAGTACATTGTACAATATACAACTATCATATACTTGGATAATAAAATGTATTCCCTTCTTACTCAGCTAGCAACAAAATGCCCTTGTGACCCGAGTGGGAGAGGAAATGAAGCCCTAGAACAGTATGCTGCATCTGGAGAAACTTGATTAAAAAAAAAAAAAATCTCTGTATCTAATCTGAACAAGTCATTGATTTAATAGCTGGTTCTTTGCTACCACATGCAGAATTCACGATGCACTTCCAAAATTCAAAATGCATTTTATTTATAGAGGAAGTAGATGTCAGCTATAAAAATCTTGGGGCAATGGGCAGCAAACTGCATGTGCTTTTTTGAACACAATGATATAGAAGAACACAGAGAGATAAACCCCAAACCAGCAGAATGCTTGCAAGTTAGATTTAATACCACGTCCTGGGAAACTGGCTGATTGCATTAGGACAATTTCTATGGAGGAGGGTTGGTACCAGAGTTGTTGTTCTCAATATTTTAGCTTGAAGCCCTTTAAATGGCTGTCTTTGAGCTGCGTTTGCTGAAACTAAACCAAAATGTTCTCGCCTTAACTGGAAAGCAGCAGAAACAGCAGAGCTGCTTTTGGAACATTAACAAAAAGGCAATCAGATTCATCGAGCGAGGAAGCTCAGCTAGGAGGCTTTTAATGCAGTCTGGTACCTGATGTGAAATCCCTGAACAGGTTGGGACCAAATCTGTGTTTACTCATTTGTGACGAAGTGACTGTAAGTAGAACAAAACCTGTTAATAAATAAAAGCTGTCGCAAGCAAAAGCATTCCCTCTGGTATTTCCTTAAGTGAAGGACTTTTTGTATGGTTACCACATCTCCACTTCAGCTTCTTTACCTTTCAGCCAGGGGCTTGCACAAGGTAGCAGAGTTCTTGGCACTTTTCTGCTAGCTTTAAAATTCATAGGAATGTAAGAGGGTACGTACGGGGACACACCTTAGGACTGTCTTAACCAGTGCCTGGTCTCCCACAGTGGCACACAGTAGCAGTTTAATTTTTCAGTCACTAATTTTATTCTATAATGGAGCAACTTCAATGTTAATAGAGGCATTGTCCTGCTCCTGTTTTCCCATCAGCTCTGAAAGTACTTAGTTCCTCTAAGCCTTAATATGTACAAACTACTGTGCAAACAGCAGCAATGTGAACTGTTCATTAACAATATTTTCCCCTTCTGTAAATTAGACAAGACAGACCAACAACTTCAGGAGCGAACTGTAATCTAGGTGTCCAGTAAGTCACCAAGGGTCTGGCTCTCAGGGCATCAAGGACTCAGTTTTGCAGCCGTAAGTTAAATACCTGCTCAAGGTCAGTTAGTAGCAGAGTCCAGGCTGAAGTCATGAGTCCCTGCCTTTCACTCCCACACTTAATTCACTAGTCCATGCTGTAATTTTTCCCAGCTGAGTGCCTTTCAGGACAATCAAGTCAGTTCTGTGTCCCTCCAGGTAGCTCTCTGCAACCTCTAGTGCCCGTGGACACGCTGGCTAGATACAGACATTCAAAAAGTCGGAGGTGCAATTGATCTAAGTTACGTGGTTTTCTGTAAGTGGTGTACTTTAGAGAACAGAACAGACATTCACCGTTTGATGGGGCAGGTGGGGGTAAATCTTAGACCCAATTCTGCCATTTTTAAACCAATCTATGTGCACCAAACTCCTCTTCTGTTATGGGTATGGACTGGTTGTGTGTGACAACCTTATGCTCTGTTCTATAGATGGGTTTCCAATCACTTGTACTGTTAAAAATGTAATGTCTGTGCTTGGCCTCTGTCTTCACTGCAATGGTAGCCAAGGGCCTTAGCTGTGAATTTAGCTCCCCTCCACACAGAGAAACCTTTTATCAGAGTTCAGCGGCACTTTCAAACCAGACTAGTTTGTTTGTCCTTGGTCACAGGCTAAAGTCAGAGCAAGGATTACACTTTAACACCCGTGACTTTGCAGTGGAGAACACAGGCTAAAACACTCCAATGCTGATAGCCTGCCCCACACTTCCTTCACAAGCCCAAAAAGACAGAAATTCCACAGTTCCCTGAAAAAGAACCAGTGCTTCAATATATTGAAACACAAAGACCCAGAGATGTCCCAGCAACACACAACCAAGTGCAGCGTCACCAGGGACAGATGAACTTGGGCATGGCTTTGCAGTATGATTTCTAGGCTAGCCCTGATCATCCTAATTCACTCTGCTGTGAACACAAAACACTTCATGACGTAGCTCTCCACCATAGTATTTCTTGTCATTCTTGACGTGCTTTGATACGCAGTTAAACAATCAAAATTGACATTTAAAGTATTATTGGCAGCAGAGTTGGTATTCACAAATATTAATGCCCCAACTCATGCATCAGAACTATTCTTCTGGGCTTTCTGCATATTTGACTCGCTCTCCCCTGCCCCACCAAGCCATCAACCGCAGCTCAGGGCCAAAGATTTCCAAGGGCTTATTAAGCCCCCTCTCACCTGCAACCCCCCACAAAAAAAAAGACTGCACACAATGCCAAGGCAATGGTACAAGTCATGCTCACAAGCACCCATCTCCATGGCTAATCACACAGACCAATGCCTAGGTGCTGTACCAGTCGAAATCGAATATAAGCACTTGGGAATCCTTACTTCAATGCTCTTTTCTCCTAGCCAGACTGTTGCAAAGTGCATACAGGCAACCCCTGCTTAACATTGTTCCGCTTAGCACTATTTCACTATAACGCTCATTTTAAATTGATACTCGATTTCACTTAGCGCTCAGCAAGTTTCATTATAATGCTCACGATCACCATCTTGGGTCATTAAAAACACTTACAGTTACCATCTTGGATCGTGAAATACTTTTGGTTTCACTTAATGCTCGTTTCACTTAAGACTCAGTTTTTCAGGAAACAATTAAGAGCGCTAAGCGGGGGTTGCCTAAACTCTGAGGGCTGCAACTTTTTCAGACCAACTGATGGAGAAGTCAAAACAGTTTTTATCCCGGTTTATTTTACACATTTAGTGATCCTTAAGGATGAAAGATCTTCTCACTCAAGATGGTCTTCTCCAAGATCCAAATGTCAAAAGTCCATTTCAATGCATCCTTAAGCACGACTCTTTAAATGCGAGTTGTGCATCCTTTACTCTATCCCCAGCTAGCCTTTGTAAAACTTACTTGAAAAATTTTCCAGGAAGCTTGTTAAAACCGAGTTTATGGCTCTGATGCATACAAACTCCCTGTTTGTTAATTATAGCTAGTCTTTCCCACCCATCAGTGCTACCGTGGTCTCATCTACTCTACAAATGTTCTGCCAACAAAACCGAGCGCATCTCCACTCAAAGCCCCGCCACAAAGCTGCAGCCAGTAGAAGGAGTATTTGGACACTACAGTGCTGTATGCTGCTGTTAGCCTGTGCCCTTTGCATTCAGCTGACAGCTGTTTCACTGGAGCTGCACAGAGCCATCAGAAGTACATAGATTCATAGATGTTAGGGGCTGGAAGGGACCTCACAAGATCACTGGGTCCAGCCCCTCTGCACTTAGGCAGGAAAGACAACTGGGGTCAGATCATGGGTTCTTGTGTTTGTGTCTGCAGTCAAGATGTCTGGAAACAGAGTCCAGTGAATGTAGACAAGGCCTAACATTAGGTCTCCATATAACATGCTCCATATTTTAGTATTTAAGCGATGTTAAGGCTGCTCCAAGCATATGGATACAAGTTTTATAGTATCTACTTAAATCTAAATAAGTCAGCACTGCCTTAATAATCCCCATACCAGCACCACTTTTTCTACCAATGGCAGACAGAGAGAAAAGAAAAGGGAAAGGACAGTGTGGACAAAGACCCAATCCTATATATCAGAAGACTGTAAAACTTGAGACCATCTGGAAATTCACTCTCTTTTTGCTGGTAAGGAAGACTTTTGAATGATAGTAACATTATCAGCTCCCCAGGGGTGGGAAAAGAGGGGTTCCCTCACCATAGTTTCAGCAGTATAAGTAGCTGAGGCTCCTTAGGAGCCAGCCTGTAAATCAGCAGGCCGAATGGAGTCCCTGGGAAGAGGAGAGGGCCCTCCAGCTATGGAACAAATGCCTCAAATATGGCTATGATTAAGTGGCTGTGCTAATATAAAATTCAAAGAGTAATTAAAAAGTAACTTGCAACCGACAGGCCTGTGCTCATCCAATTCCTCACCCACTTGTGTTATTTGTGTTTTTATAAGCATTATGAATTAAACATACTAAGTCAGTGCTAGCCTGTTTGGCAGGGACAGACCACACAAGAGAGCTTCTGTAAGTCAGCATAAAAGAAAGCAGTGTGCAAAAATACATGCAGGGGAACAGGACACATGGCCAGAGAAGATCATTTAGTACATCAGAAAGTTATTTGGTGAATTCTAACTCTAGATATCAATCCTTCCAATTAATGCTAACGAGATAAAAAATTATAACTTCAGCCACAGTTCTAACACAGAAAACCCTCTGATTGTCTCTATAAAAGACCTCATCTGAAGTCCCTGCATAATTAAAGTGCAAATCAAATTTTACACATACCTGTGAGACTCAAATATGCAGCTAAATACCGTTTTTCAAGGCCATCTTTATAGGACTGAATCGCACCATAGAGTGGAGGTAGAATGAAAATCAGGTTACTCACTGTGTTCCCTGTAGGACAGAAACCAAAGCAGAGGTTTAGTATTGGGCAATGTGTACTTCAAATGAACAAAGCTGTATTCATTCAAACAAGACTTCAGTTTTCAGCAAAAAAACAGTTACACCTTTCAGCCAGGTCCCTTTCTGCTTTGACACTTGGGCTGCAGTTAAATTTTGCTAACAGCCAAGCAGCCCTATTAACCTTTTCCTTCTTTCCATATGTTTAGGTAACAGCAAGGTGTACTACTTCAGACCCAAATGTTAAGGCTAGGTGGTGGTTAACCTTTTGGCAAAAGCCAGAAAGTTATGGTTACTTTCGATTGGTCTAATAAAAGATATCAGATTTACCTGAAGAACCTTACCTGGTTACTTCGTTAGCACACTTCATATGTTTTACTGAAACTTTTCAAACAAATAGTAATCCTCAAACCACTTGAGTTTTGCAACTGTAAAGCCTTGCTCCTCAAATTCCTCTTTCTGACCCCACAAGCTGGCTTGAACTATTTATCCCAAAATTAAAGTTCTACCTCTTTTATGAACTATGTGTATTGCTACATTGCATAAAAGCCCCAGAACCAGCACCCCAACCTGCTAGTCACTGCAAGCACAGAATAATGGGCGTCCCCATCTGAAAGAGCTTCCAGCTTCATTAGAGGCAAGGCAGTAAATAGACTGACAAGGGGAAGTACAAGGAAACAGAGACAGCATCGGTCAGCATGAAAAGCAGCAGTTAGGGTACATCAGGGAACTCCTGTTGACAAACTTTTTGTAAGCATCATAGGACAACAAGAGTTTGAGGATGGATGTTTCCTGGGAGTAACCCTGAAGCGTGATGGGTAGTGTTGTGGGAGAAAGCATGAAACTGGCTTGTTTGAAAATTTAACCAAGGGACGATGGAGATGAGCCTCACTGGCCAACGGCAGGAGTCGACCTCTCGATACTGAACAAGAAGATAAGGTGAATTCTGAAAGCGGAAACACCAGGTTAGAGTTGGAGTTGAAGCAATAGAGAAAGCTGAGCCAGAGAGAAGCACAGAGAGAGGATACTGTAGTCAAAGTAATGCATCAGCTTTCTGGAAGGTGAAAATGCATTGACAGGATCTGCAAAAAATAAGTTGCAGTAACAGAAACAAGAGGTAAGGGCTTGTATGGGCACATTTTGACTGTGTGGATGGACTGCATCTTCGGAGATGTTAGGCAGAAAATGTGCAAGGATGTAGGCAGACACTGACATGGGGATATATTGAGAGGTCCAAGGTGAAAAGGACACAGAGGTTATGGGTCTGAGAGACAAGGAAAATGGTGATGAGTTTGGAGAAAGGAGATACCAGGAAAGCCCTTCGGGAGAGGGAGAGATTAAGGGCTGTTTTAGCTCTGTTGCACATGAGATGGCAGGTAGGCATTCGTTAGGGGAGGTCAGATAGACTAATACCACCATCAGGCACTTAGTAGCCATAGTATGTTTTTAAGATGGCTTTCAGTAGGATCCCCAAACTCTATGGCTGGATCCAGATGTTCAGGCATGAATGGTTTGTGACACGGCAAAACTCTTTGCCGTGCCACAAACCGCATGAGTTGCATGTTAATCAGCGTGCGGTGCTGCGAAGATGCAGTGCCATGGCAAAATTTGCTACCGGGATTTCCCAGTAGCAAAAAAACCCTGGAAAAAAGTGGTGCAGAGTCCCTGCCCTGAGGCATGTGGAGCCCCTGTGCTCAGGTACACTGCAGAGCAGCTGGCTGGGGCGCAGGGGAACAGCCAGCCCAGGGCTGCCTGCTGCCCCATCTCAAGGCATCCTGCGCCCCAGCCAGCAGGGCAGCCCCCCCGTCTCCACATGCTGCTCCCTGGCTGGCCAGGGCACAGTGTACCTCAGCATGGGGGTCTCTGTGGTGCAGCCCCTGTGCTGAGGCACGAGGAGACAGGGGAGCAGCCAGTCCAGGGCTGCCTGCTCCCCCGTCTCGAGGCATGCAGCACAGGGAGAACAGGAGCTATGCCTAACACAGATCTCCAGTTGTGGGCTGAACAGAGATTGAAGGCAGTTAGCTAAATGTTCAACCTAGCTGTTTAGATGTGTTCATTAAATAATTCATCACCACAAAGAGGCATCAAAAGCAAGCATCAGACCTTAGAAATGAGAAGTGCTCCCCATAGCACACCCCGCAGCCAACACAGCAGTGTCTGCACAGATACAGTGCACCCGTTCCATCGTTCCCTACGCTTTGTGCAGTCACATCCACCAGTGCAAAGTGCCTATGACACTGCCTGAGCCATTCTGATGTGATTCATAGATTGTCAGGGGCTGGAAGGGACTTCGCAGATCATCGGGTCCAGCCCGATACAGGAAGATTTTCACACCCACCTGCCGCTGGCATAAAAGGAGTAGGCAAAGGCTCAGACCACCGTAAGCGGTCTACCTGAAGTGGTGCAAATTCAGCAGCTTATGCATGGCCACAATGATCAGATTTGTGGAGAAACAGTTATATCATGGCTATCACACCTGAAGATTTCTTAAGAGGGATGGTGCAGGAAAACACAGGAAATGCACATACCACGCGTGATATATATCACACACATGCCTGAGAAAACCACAAAACAAAGTGCTCTGTAGTATATTAATATTCTAACCCAAGCACAGAGGTGGTGAGCTGTGTTAAATCTCTCCAGCCCCCTGCTACACATTACATACTTTATACAATTAACTGGTTACTCATGCAATATACTTGGACTGGTCATGCCTGCCAAATAATTATAACCATACAAATGACTATCCAGCTATACCAAGAGTAAACTATCTAAAAAAAGTTAGTGCTTGAAAATGTGTAACAACTCTTTAGCTGGTTTATATGCAGCTTTAACCTGAGCGTGCGGCAGGGCCCTGAGATGCCACCCTGCCCTACCTTCTACCCGACTTCAGCCTAACTGGGCCAAAGAGGTGTGAGCTTTCATAGGCAACAAACTACTTCATCTGATGTTACCTGATGAAGTAAGCTGCTACCAAAGCTCATGCCCCTCTGAACCAGTTAGTCTACAGAAATGCTATGCTAATCTAACATTAGTTACTTAAGGATTAAATAAATTAAATAACAACAGGGAAACTATATGAAATATTGTGCAAGGCTTCATCTCAATTTATTTCACAGATTCTAGGACAGGGCTACATCGCCACCTCTCCTCATACAAAACCTATTCTCCCCAATGCCGTGTCCCCCAAGACTATCAGGCAAAAGCAAGTGAAAGCAATTGGACTGTGCTCACGTGCTATTAAAGCCCCATTTACTTCGGGGAACACGATGAAAATTAGACAGGATTTATGGGTATTCATCTACAGCTCATAAAACCAAGACGTAAGTATATCATTAGTCCAGCAAGTGAACCAGAATGTGAAATTATCTGGATGATGACGTGTCATTTCAACTGTTTTCACTGTCCAAGCGAAACCAACTTAAAATGACAAACCCTGGAAAGTTGGAGGCATCTCATTTTCCATGTCAGATGCTTTTCATAACCAGATAAAAATCACGTCCCAAAGCAAGCATCTCTAACAAACTGATTGCCATGCTCCATACACAAAACAGCTTCACGTTTGATCTCATCACACTTAGACCATTCTCGTTGCAAGTCAGCCATCCTCAGGCTTACAATCATATCTTCAGAGGAAGACTGGCACCCAAATAAACCTGAGGTTCTGCAAACCCCGAACTTCCCTTTGGAGGCTACCACCCTGGAGACCAGTGTGACAAAAGCTGCATCCAAAATCAGGCATTACTTTTCCCCTACAGGAGGAAGACCTTTCTAGGGAAGGAAGTCCCGTTTTCCCCCCACCGGCATCATGTCTCAATCTCTGCCTGTGATCACCAGTTTGAAGGGGAAAAAACAGCCAGCTGCCAAGGAAAATGACAGCCACAGACGGTCTGTCCTCCTCCCTGGATAGCCCCGGGCCCTATCCACCGCCCCTAGCCCCAGCCGCCAACCCTGCCCCATTCCCTCCCTCACTGTGGGGGCTTCAATCTGCTCCCCCCTGCATTGCCATTGCACTTGGCTCTGCACTCCCAGGAGGATGCTGGCAGCAGCTTATCCAAGCACGTAGCCCTGGAGGAAGCCCCATTTAAATTTCAGTATTGAATGCATGATAATACACACATTTTAACATGGCCATTACCCTGTTCTTCCCTAAAGCCACACCAGAGTCTCTCTTATGCTCAAAAATCAGAGCTAGATTTATTTGGGAAAGGTGCCCTGAGGACTAAGAGCCACATCAGTGGCATGTACGTGGCCGTGTAAGCGGAGTGTTTGGCAGGTATGCCAAGCTTAGACTGTATTTGCAGCTGCGTAGCTATGTTCACCCTGTGCCTCCTTTTCAGGCATCTTCCGAAGGCTGAACTAATACTGTGCAGATTAAAATCACCTCGGTACCCCAAATTTTCAATCAAAGAGAAACCAGAACCAATGAGTGATGCTGGAGTAGGAGCAGGACCAGTACCCTCACTCCTTTTAGCTCAACGAGGGGCTTGAATCTCTATCTCCTGCTTCTTAGCAAAGTGCTCTACCTACCAGGCATTGGCCAGAGCCACTTTCCAGCACTCCTAGAAACCAGGCCACTGGGCTGCCAAGGGAAAAGAGCAAGCCAGAGGGAGTTTGGGTTGGTGAAAATAACACTGCCCAGGAAGGGAGTAGCCCTGCCTTTAACAGTCTCTCCGCACCTTGTACTTAATATGCATTGCATAAAATGGAAAGCAAATAGTGGGATATTATCAGCCTGCTGAGGGTCTCAGGGCTCCTCCCTCCCAGGGCAGTCTCTCTCCTCCCCTTCCATCCCCTCCTTGGTTGTCCAGCTTCAAAAAGAGGGCTGGAAAGTGCTCTGGGCAATGCCTACACCAGGCCTTGCGGTTAAAGAAGTAGGAGATGAAGGATCAAACCCCCTCTGGCTGAGGGTGGGGCTAGAACCAGGGTCTCTCACTCCCTGGACAAGTGCTACTGGCCTAAAGGTGAGATAGCCCTCCTCCTACTCCGCTTTC